GCACTTGCCTCTCACCTCTGGGGTCTAGGATTTGATTCCTGGACTCAGCATCACATACATTAGTGAACCAAGGGTGGCAGAGTGGTAGTGCACTTACCTCTCACCTCTGGGGTTTCTGGTTCAATTCCTGGATCATATGTGAGTAGAGTTTGTTAGGTCTCTTTTCCAGTTCACCATTATTATAATATTGTGTGGTTTGATTGTTTTAGGATGAAAAAACTAGAATTATGCAGGTTTCTAAAGATGGAGGAGATACTTTTGAAAATGCACAGGTTCCTAAGATTAAGCCAGAACAGGTAGAGAAGCAGTTATATTCTGTTGTCATAATCATCAATCTCTATTTATCCTCATTATCAATTTCTTATTGTCATCTTCACCAGCATCACCACAAATTTTCATTTTCTTCATCACCAATATATAATAATAATAATCATCATCACCACCACCATCATCATCATCATCACTATCACCACCACCATCATCATCATCATCACTATCACCACCACCACAATCATCATTGCCAATACTATCGTCATCATTATCATCATTATAATCATCATGCATGTTCATCATCATGTATTATCAGAGTCATGTATATTTCTAAACTTGCAGCATCAATTTAAATCATTATGTTTTCAAAACAGGATATATAATATGAAATGTTTTTCTCTTAGTTTTACTCAATTCTGGACATGTCAGAAGGCATGGTGTTCTTGCATGTTGACGATATTGGAGGTAAGATAACAACTTGGTTACCATAACAACCATGTAGGAGTTTAATTAGGTGGAGTGCTACAAGTGTACAGTACTGTTTTGAACAACTAGTCATAATGTGAATTCATTTTGCAATTTGATTGTTACATGAAGTCTTCATGACCCATCCTCTCTGTTATCCTGAGACCCTGTTTTTGGCACATCTATCTAGTTTTCTAAAACCAAGTTTACTTGAGCTTTGGTTTCATATTTAATTTAGACAGTGGAAAAGGAGTTCTCTACACTTCAGATGCTGATGGGATAGTGTTTGACAAGTCTCTTGAAAATCATGTGGTAAGAGATGACAAACAAATGATTGGATGAGGTTGAGTATAATATTGTGAATTACCAAAACCAAAAATGTGCTAGTTAACTTTTTCACAGACATATGTTATTCACTGTAGTATACTCTATAACTAGTTATGTTAGCAGAGATTGCATAGCTAAGGATTTTTACTTGGCTGATAAATTTTATTTTTCATTAAATAAATATGTTTCTTTGTTTAGTACACAAACACTGATGGCATTACAGACTTCTATAAAGTGGAATCCATGAATGGGACTTACATTAGCAGTAGAATGAATCAAGGTAAGCGGCTAGGAGACATAGAGGTTACTACACTTCAAATTGTGTATTATAGCCGGATAATTCGAGCTGCTCAAAAGAACAGGAGAAAATTTCCTCATGCCGACATCAGCAAAAAAAAAACTTTCAAAACTGGCTCGTAGACTATGTATTATCGCTCTGCACTTGAAAATGGTCGTAATACACATGAAATTTAGTGTTTGTGGTATGACAAAGCAGCTAAATCACCAGTTATGCAAGACTGTGTGGCTCTTGATATCCATCCCCCTAACCACAGGTGCAACCATGGAATAGGGTAAAATTGAACCAAACATAATTCTATTGTATAGAGCGGTCTGAACCCAGGTGAATGAATGTTTATCGAAGTATTATGATCATCCGGTTATTCTTCACTTGACTCTGAAGATGACTTCCGCTCACAGGTTGTTGAAACGTCAGTCCCATCAAACAGTCCTTCTCTGAGGATAACATCCACCCAGATGATCATGATACTTCGATACACAATCATAATTCTAATATTAATTGTTTCAGTCAGTTATCTTTCCAATTCTGAGGTTGTAATGCACTATATATTTGTGTTTGGACAGATAACAGTTTGAGTTCCTTGATATCATTTGACCGTGGAGGAGAGTGGAATCCTATCAAACTGGATGACAAATTGTGCAAAGGTCAAACTGCCACAGTAAGTAAACTCAAATCCTTTGTCATATTTTCATTGTTAAATTTATTTTGGTTTTTTTCGTTATCCTTTCCTTATCAGTTTTGATCGAACATTCATTGCTTGGTAACACTCTTTTTATAGAATATAAATAAATAAAATTCAAATGTTTGCTGTTACAAGTCATATTGCTTCTCCTAACACTTCACTTGTATTCTACCAAGTTTTACCTGAGTGCTTCATAACTGCACAGTCAGAGAAAGAACAAAATTACAGAGTTCGTAAGGAAGAAAATTGACATTAACCATTTATACATGTGCTGTGTGCTCGCATAAATCACTCACCCCCCATCAATCGGAAAGTGATATTTTATAACAGTTATTTTATAATTCCGTTTGCTTCTGGATATTTTTCCTCAGAAAGATGCAAATGTTTGCTCTCTGCAAATCCACAATGCCTTCAGCCGCAGTAGAGGTGTCAATGTATCCAGGGGCCCTCTTAGTGAAGCCAGTGCTGTCGGCATCATCATTGCTCATGCAAACCCTGGATATGCTCTTAACAAAAAGAGCATTGGGATTTGGATGTCAAGGGATGGTGGATACACCTGGAAGGATGTAAGAAAATTATGAGTTTTTCAAATTATTGTTATGTTAAGTTACAGTGCAACTATAAGCCATTTTGAGTTTGAGGGGAAAACTGGGTTGAATTGGTATAGCAGTGCATTGTAGGGCTGTCTTTAGATGCCATCTTGGAAATATAGATAATTCCAAACAGGGCCACCCAAAAGATTTTTCATACAAATTATAAGTCAATAGAATCTGCACAAATTTTCATTTTTTTCCTTTTAAAAAGAAACTTTGTAGTTACTTTCCAAAAAGCATGGATTTTACTTTATATGTGTGCATGTATGATCAGTAGTGAAAGAGAAACAGTTTAAACTCAAGAATTCTTCACCATTTTGAATAGTTTGACATTTGTTTGGGTGGCCTTGGTTGCATTGTAATAATGAAGTTAAATTTTAGATTTTGCATAAACATGAAATTGTTTTATTATTCTCATTAAAGACTGGTTTGAGAGGAGCGCATCACTATGCCATAGCTGACCACGGCAGCCTTATAGTGGCAATACCTGTGGGTTCTGAGGAAGTTAGAACATTATGGTAACCAATAGCTTATTAATCATAATGTCTAAGACACAGTAGTAACATACCCAGTACTAAGTAGGTACCCAGTATTAAGTACGAACCCATTACTACATGTAGTAACCTGTCTCCAAAATCTTATTGATCATTGCTTGGTATCAAAAAGTTGTCCATAAACAAATTTTGTGAATTCCATTGCCTGAAGTAAAGAGCAGCCAGTGCCTGTCATGATAAATCATCATCATGAGGTACTTGACTATTAGAAGTCAGGTGGTAAAATTTCTGTAAAGGCTCAAAGTGAATTCCTTGATAGCAAGCGATCGGCCATTTTTTGTTCATGTTAAGAAATGATTCGGTTAGGGCCATTATTAATAAGGACACTCCAGCCACTGCAATCACTTATTTTTGTCACTTTTTGAATGCATTAACTGTAAATTACCTTTAAGCATATGATTGGTTATAAGTTTTCTTTTGATTTTGCAGTGTATTTGAACTCAGTGCTACATTTTAGAGGATTTGAAACAGAATATTCACAGTTTTTAATTCTCCTTCAGGTATTCAGTAGATGAAGGAGGTTGCTGGTTTTCTTATGAGTTTCCCAAAGAAAAATTCCACTTGACTGGCCTTGTTACTTCGCCTGGTGCACAGACAATGAGGGTTAGCCTATGGGGTTATGCAGGTGGTACCAGACGATGGATGGTAAATACGCTCAACTTCAGACGTGTATTGGAGAAAAAGTGTAAGTTCATTTAAAAAAAAAAAAAAGACCTCATGTTGGCTTCTTTTGCTAACAAATAATATGATGATCTAAAACTTTCTTCTTGGTTGCCTTGATTTTGCTCAGAATAATGATAGTCATGGACATGCAACCAGAATCATGATGATGGCATTTAAAATGATTTCATTAATGCTTCAGGCATGTACAATAAAGTACCAGACAAATCGGACTATGAGGAATGGATTCCCCACGGTAATGGAAAAAACAAGGGCTGCTTACTTGGCAAGAAAATAACATTCTTAAGGCCCAAACCCAAAGTCCTGTAAGTATCTCAGGTTTATCTTCTCTTCTCTTTTTTTAACTGATTGATTGAGTAACAAAGCAAGTCCTTTTGGTAGATGTATTGAAATGAATAGTCCTGGTAATGTTTTTTTTGTATGACTACTGTTATATTGATAGTTGTTTTAATGGAGAAGACTACATTCCCAAGGCAACAATTGAACGCTGTCCATGTTCAATGGATGATCTGGAATGGTAAGTGCAGACATAATGTATCATGATGATGATGGTATATGCTGATGATGATACCTGATGATAAATGGTTCTGCTGCTGCTGATCTTGGTGATACATGATGATGATGATGGTGGTGTTGGTGATTCTACATGGTGATAAAGATTAAAATGGTTATACAAGATGATGATACATGATGATGATGATACATAATGATGATGGTACATGATGATGATTATACATGATGATAATTGAAATGGTTATACAAGGCCATGATGATAATAAGATGATGATGATGATACATATCATGATATACAGTGTATGATGATGATGATGATGATGATAAATGATAGATGATATGATAGTCTTATGATGATTGTGATACATGATCTAATGATGGTGATTATACATGATGATGATAATGGTGGTCATATATATGTATGATGATCATAATGATGATGATAATACATGATAATGATGAAGATGGTGATGATGATAACGGTGGTGATACATGTTGATGATGATGATGATGACGATAGCGATACATCAAGATGACCATGACACATAAAGTTAATGTTGATACTGTATTATTGTTGATGATACATGTAATACATGATGTTCATGACGATGATTTTACATGGTTATAGTATGTGTTGGTAGCTCACTAAAGCATAACGTTACGTGCACAATTTTTCTCCTCAAAGTGATTACGGGTATTATCGTAAAGTTGGTGAAACAAAGTGCAAGCTGGACAAAACCAAGAAACCAAAATTCTGCAAGAATGGAGAAGAAATAGATGTAGAAAGCAAAGGGTAAAAAAAATGCATGTCTAAATAATGACTTAGCATAAGTACTGTGATGTGTTCCACTAATGAAGCTGTTTACTTTTTAAAACTCAGATTAACACATTTGTTTGGAAGGTTGGTAACTTTTTTTTGTATTTTTAAATGGTTTAAATAAGGTATCGGCTTATTCCTGGTGATGAATGCAGTTCTCCTGGTACAAATGTGGAGAAATATGTAGATGCTCATAAAAAATGTCAGGATCAATATGCCAACTATGGAGCACTGACGACCAATGAAAAAAAATCAAAGGTACTTTGTGAAATGCTACATTTTTAGCCTTCTTTGCAGACCTTACTTAGGCTGCGCTCATAATGTATGGCAGAAGAGGGGGCAGGTAAAAATTTGAAATGTCCAGAATAATTCTCAACACCCCCCCCCCTTAAAGTTATGCAAAAAAAATACAATCCCCCCTAAGCAAGGCTTGTAGCTTCATCCAAAGATTGTGCATCCCCCCCCATTTTTCTGATAAAAATTTGCCCATCCCCCTTTTTCCTACCAAAATTTTCCCGATTCCCCCTCAACTGAACACAGCCTTATCAAATCTGTATCTTGATATAGGTGGGCTACTTGTGTCTAGAAGAATTTTGGACAAGAGGGCCTGAAAGCGACAGTCTCCCTTTTCTGACACCTCTTAAAGGAAGCCCATTTTGAGCTTGAATTTATCATTCAATGATTTATAATTTCATTCATGTCATCATTTAGATGTGCATTTTATGCAATATTTTATTAAAGAGTTCTTCATTTTTTAATAAAATTGTATCTTATAAATTTCTTAAATACAGAGCTCAAAGTCATTAGTTGTTGCTGCGGTGGTCGTGCCCATCACTATCGTTGCCCTTGTAATAGCCATTTACTTTGGGAAAAAATACCTAGACATAAGAAAAAGGTGTGTATTCCTAATAATTATGATCCTATAGAATAAGGTTTATAAGCCCCCCTCCCCCATATTATGAGCCCTCACGATTGTAAGCACATCTTCATCTGCCAACAAAAATTTCCTCCAGGTTATTAGTCCACTCTACTGATGAAGTAAACAGTGCAGTCAACATAGTTTTTCTGAGCTTATTTTCATTCTAAAGCTATTACAGGTATCGTTGCACGGACATTCCCGATACCCCCCTGGTTTCAATGTGCCCACCTGATCGACTGAATCTATATAAACCCAGAGCTTATAACTGGGATTCTACAGTATTTTGTTTTCTTAGTGATGAAACCAATGAGAAAAAAGTTATTGATATTAATTTTGCATTTCTTTCAGTAAACCATCTTATCAGTACTCTTCCGTGTCGCAAGAGCCAGAACAAGACATGTTTTCCTCCCCAAGTCATGGATTAGATGATGATGTATGTATAAGATTTTCACCTGTATTTTGTGGGCTTGTGGGAGTCCTTAAAGGCAGAGACTGAACGTCTTTAGCATACCATTGCTTTCTTATTTTAGCTCATTTGTCACTCTCTTGAGTGTAACTTCTTTACTGATACGATTTGAGAAAAAAATAAGTTGTGTAAAGTTATTTGGATGTGAACAACTTGAAGGAGAAAAGTCAAAGGAAAAAGCCAAACTAGGAAATATCCACTAGTCGTCATTTCCTGTCTCACGCACTCTGTTTATCAGCTGAATCACAAGCATGACATTATTTCTAGCTGATGACACATATATGGTCGGTGTTTGACCAGCACTTGATGAAGATTACCTATATCATCTGATTGAAATCCAGCAATTACTGTAATTGGATGAATAGGTAGCAATTTGAATGGCAAATGTCAATTCCATTTAGTGGCTACAGTATGTCGGTCATGACACTTCTCTTGCAAATTCAAAATCTTATTACAGCGCAACGCACAAAAATATGTATTTGCATACTTTCATGCACAAGTTCTGTACATTGCACTGACATATTTTTGTTACGAAGCTGGCTGGTTTTACCAATTAAAATGATAAGGCGTGCCAACACTCTTTTGGCAGGAAAAGCCTCCTAGTGCATAGAAGTATGCGAATACCTTAAATGTGGTCTCATACTTTGTGAGTTTATAGCAATCCTTGATTAATAATTTCCTCTTTTTCTCACATATATTTTTCTTCTACTTCAGGATACAGCCATGATTGAAGTGTAAATCAAATCTTGGTCTTAGTCTATGGCCCCAAGTGTACTCTCAATGCACTATTGCTAACCAACTCACAGTTTGTAATTAAAAAAGAAATTTTTTGATAATCAGAATAGTAGTATAGTATGGTTATTTAGCCATAAATAATCATAGAATTTAAATAATAAGGAAATGGTCATGAAGTTGAAATGGGGGATTGGCAAAACTTAGCTAGAGATAAATTGGTGATGGGTACATTTTTTTTCAGTGTGTAAAATGATGGATTTAGAGGAAGACATTTTACAGTCTTTTTAGCTTAACCATTTTCCCTATTTATTATCAATGACCAATTCCCTTTTTTACAGAATTATTCTTACTAGTAATAGAAAATATAGAGTTTTGATAGTAAATCATTATTAGCTAGCGTAAATAATAATCACAACAAAAAACTAATGCAATTTAATTCACCCCATCCAAACTAATGTCAACTGCCGGTATTTTATACAATAACTTCAGACTGCAAATATTGCATCTTTAGTTCACCAGGTTTGTTTCATTTACAATTTATTTAAGATTCATAACCTAAGTTTATAACTTAGTTAAACAGCCATACATCAGGCACAAGAAAGATAACTTAAAAACAATTAATTTATTGAGGTGTATTTCTTTAAAGCCTAATTATTATTTAACTTTAATGTGTACTTTTTGATGGAATTAGTGTAAATTTTGCCATATGTGGTATTAATTATACCCTGCGAGCAGAGATTCCCTTTTCTATCCCCCCTCTCTCCCTAGCGGGATAGAAAAGGGAATCTCTGCTCGCAGGGTATATTAATTATGGAATAACCTTAATGATTGATTTCCATCTAGTATGTCATTCCCTTGAGGGTAGACATTTTGCACCATTATGTGATGGCACAACCATAGTCCTTTCCCGTTGGGAAACTGAATTCATTCTGAATTTTGTTCTCATGTAAACCATATATTAGACCAGGTTCAATTGCTCCTGCTTCTAGTCATAGCTGTGATCAAATGATGGTGCAAAGCCTTTACAAGATTGTTCAGTCTTCTTGAATGTTACTAGTAAAAAAATAATACTCAAGGTAAGAATTGCTCTGAAATGGAAATCAATGCTTAGGTTTTCGTTATAATTCTTTTTCTAACCATCATGTACTATGATGGTATAAGCTTGTGGTTTATGCTTGCAATGTTTTAGAAATAAAGATTTATTACACGTGCAGTGGAAAGTATTCTTCATTAAAACATATTTATCGATAGATATATATAAAATACCAGTTTTGTAAATACAACCGTGTTCCTTGATTACAGACTCATTAACACAGGGTTAGCCTTGTTGTCACATCTACAAAAAAAACTTGTTTCTGATTGGTTGGTTGGCTCAGTGTCAATTCTTTCTCTTGTAGATGTTTTATTTTTACTTCTCAAATAAAAATACCACATGCATTTGATGAAAGTGCCTTCATGCTACTAGTGCATATCAAACGGTAGCATTTCCTATATTAATATGTATTACATACCAAGAATAGTTCTTTAACACAATGACATACAAAGTCATGCAAAACCCTTGGTACATAACAATATTTTTTTTTTTTGTATAAATATTGGACATCAATACACAAATACAAATTTTTAAATATGAATACTGTTATGAATGCAAGATGCATAGAGTTGTACACCAAAATAGCAGCATTATCGATAGGAAAATAACATTAAAGATCTAGCAACCTTGTTTTGAAGGGTTTTGGCATGTGATTGTCAAGCTTGACATGACATCTTGTTCTACACCTGTGGGAAGCATCACCAAAAACCCTCAAATTCCATGCTTAACTACATTATAAAACAGTAGGAACTTGTAGATAAATTGGATCACCGTAAAAAGCTTTGTGAAACTGACGTTTTGGACGTTAGTCCTTCATCGGAGTAAGTGGGAAATGAAACGTCAGTTTCACAAAGCTTTTTACGCTGATCCAATTTATCTACAAGTTCCTACTGTTTTATTCAGAAACACCGACGCAGTCCACGCTAGTACACGCTAGTTTAAAACCTGAAAAACCTAAGGTTTATAATTGACAATATGCCAAGGATCACAATCTTTGGTGTGAAATATTGTCTTTGCTCAAACTTTTGAAGCACTTGTTGGAAGAGGGCCATAAGTGGCTTTTGGAGGTAAACTGTATAAATAAATGGCAAACATAACCAGAACAGCCCCCAGAACAAATTGAATGCTGATGTGAAAATTGAACAGGTATACTGATACTATACATGAGAGAATGATAGAAAATGAGGTAGCAAATCCTTTGAGAATGTTGTCGGCATATTTGACGACAATTGCAACTAGCAGGCCACCAAAAGCTTGCATGGATATTACAATCCAAACCAATGTTGTGTAGCCATATAGGAATCCTTTCTCAGAGACCTTGGATCCATCATTGATTTGCATGCCTATTAGTCCAATTATGATCCCATATGTTCCTAACTGTGTATTCCTGAGCCATACTGATCCTTGGGTACCTTTGAGGATCTTCTCAAAGTAAACCCCTAGGATTCAAAGGAGAGGTCTGATTAAGAATGAATGGATGGATGGATAGGATGACAAGAGATGGGATGAATAGATGGGATGAAACAGTGAATGGTGGGTTGATGGATGGCTGGATGGTTGGATGGATGGATGTGAGGTATGGGATGGATGGATGTGAGGTATGGGATGGATGGATGTGAGGTATGGGATGGATGGATGTGAGGTATGGGATGGATCAGATAGAATGAATTGATGCATGGATGGAAGGATAGATGGATGGATGGATGGGATGGATGGATGTGAGGGATGGGATGGATCAGATGGGATGAATTGATAAAAGGAACTGTGGATGGTGGTGGATTGATTTTGATTGAAAGTGGGTGGGTTGATGTGGTTAGTATGGGATAGATGGGATAGGACAAATTGATGCATGAATGCATGACAGATGGGTGTGAATGAGATTTTGCATGAATGAATTGGATAGATTGAGAAAAGAGATATAAATGGACAGATAGATTGAGGGATTGATTAGTTATGAATGAATTGGATGAGATCAATGAATGTTTATGGTAACAGCCACTGCATTGTTAAAAGCACTAGAATATCAAGTAAAAACATTGTAGCATTTCTGGGGGNGGGGAGGGGTAAGAGGGGGGAGGGGTAGGAGAGGGAGTCTAAAATGAACACCTACACTATTCTAGACACATTCAATATTTGATTATCGTACCAGCAAATCCAGAACATAGACTTGACAGCACCACAGCTAACAATCCAATCAGAGGATTCTGCTTTGCAGTGGCCATGGTTGCTAGGGTTACATTAGTTGATGCCGGTGTTGCTGTGGGCTTCACATTAGATGTCGGCTGCAGTTGAACAACCGAAACCCCACCAAAGAGCATGAACAATGACAGCCACTGTAATTTGTTTAGGCTCTTGTTCAACATTACAACAGAAAACAGTGCTGTTGTTAAGATCTTTAGTTGGTAAGTCACCTGGAAATAAACAAATCCTGTTAAAGACCCATTGCCACTTACCGTGATGCATCACAATTTGTTTACATTTTGAATCGTGTCTCCACTGAAAAAACAATATTCCAACATTTTGAATAAACTCTTAAATAGTCTTTAAAGCTGTAAAAGAATAATTATTGTGCCTTAGTGCTATGTGGGAAAAGGATTTAATATGAAGTTATTATTCAATATATGAATCTTTGAATTTCATGGACCACGAAATTCATCTGTGACCGCGGTGCATCACGGTAAGTGACAATGGGTCTTTAAATAATTCCTCAACAAACTTGTCCTTTATAAAATTATTTTAAGTTTCAGACCTCATGATTTATATCCAGAATCTTGTTCAAGATCTTATAAGATCTTACTCAGGATCCTGTTCCTACCCAATCAGGATCTTTAAGATCCTAGTCCAGGATCTATAAAAAAGATCCTGATACTATCTAAGATCTTGTACAGGATCTTATTTAGGATCCTATTCTTACTAAGGATCTTACATCAGAATGTAATCCTGTCTAGGATCCTATTCCTAATCAGGATCCTATTCAGGATTCTACTCAGGATCCTATCCTATCCAGGATCCTATTCCTAAGTTGGGTCCTAAAGGATCTTACAGGATCCTGTCTAAGATTTGCACCAGGGTAGTGTCATGGATCAAATTTCATTGGAACATGTATAATAATACTATATGTGAAGATGAATAAGAGAATGATGTGAAGTTGTGAAGATGAAACCAATGTTATAAAGCAGAATCCTGTTATCTCAAATTTCCTGGGGAAGAAAAAGTTCAAAATAACAGGTCTTCCACTAAACAACTTCAAATTGCATTTGGTGACAAACCTGAAAAGTTGCAGCATCAAGGTTTGATATAGCGACATACTGTAGATTATTCTGAATTGTGTAAATCAATGCAGGTACTGACAGCTTCAAAGTATCAACAGGATTCTTTATTATTGATGAATACAGATGATTGATCCATTCATGAAAGCTTCCAAATTGATAAAACATGATTATCAAGCATGTTACAATTTTGAAGAATTCTGCCATCACCACTGCTGTACTCGTAATGTACATATCACCGGGGAGTGTCCGAGTGTAGCGAATTGTCAGAATTAAGGATGCATTTTGTAGAGTAAGGACAACAAGACTGAGGTACTTGATGCTAAAATAGCCATTTTCTGTAAAGTCAAAGGACAACTTTTAGAATTTATCAAATTTAGAATTTAAAACTTTGTGTGTATTATGTATATTTCAGGTAGTGAAAAGCCGCTAACAGGCCATAATGAATCGTAAGGGTTGTAAGGGTTTATTAAAGTGTGTACCAAAACTTACATTGTGTATATACAATATATAAATGAATAATAAATTAAAATTACAGCTTATAAGGAAATAAATCATTAAATAGTTCTATAAATGCAAATAAAGGCTATAAAAGGTTATGCAGATGTTTATATATACACATTAAGGTGAAAAATTATTAATTGGCGACTAGAAAATGGTACAGGCTAACTGGAATAACTTGTTGTTAAACTAGCCAGATAACCTAATAGTGTTTGAGGCATTGTGAGGTCAGATATTAGTTGGTACGATTAGAAAACTAAGATTTACGAGAAGAAATATAAACAAGAATATAGACAAAAAGAGACACACATACATGTTTATAATAAAGATAAGAGGGATCAGTGATTACTATTAGTAGGTTTCAATTAGATCAGATAAGAATTTAGATTTAAAGAGGGATTTAGATTTTGTTTTGAGAGAACTTTATAAAATAATTGGGATACTATGCGCGCTATGATTGGTCGAAAACCATGTTTGATGAGAGTATCAAAACACGCTACCGTCATTTTTAATCTATCGCACGCGCTCATTGGTCAGTTTGAATAAGACTGCACATAGGGAGAATTTACTTAGACTTTGCTTTTTTTCAATCTTTTCGTGCTTTTGTTATTTCATAAAATAAATCAAAAACAGTTTTCTGTGTTTGATACTCTGATCAAAACACTCGGGATGTTGTGAGAACACTTGAGAAGCTGGAAACCACTCCGCTACGCGTCGTGGTTTCCTACGCTGCTCTCATGTTCTCTCAACATCCTGAGTGTTTTGATAAGAGTATCAAACACGGAAAACTGTTGGTTGTTCCAGACTTTTGGGCCTTGATAGCGGATAGAGAACTTTCCATAGTTGGTTCTTACTTTAGGGAGACAAAATGATTGTTTGGAAGGAAATCTTGTGTAATAATGGTTATATGATATTATTATAATGTAATCAGGCAGAGGGAAGGGTTGAGAAACATAATTGTGGATATTGGCATGGCACCAAGAAAACTGAAAAAATATTGTAAACAAACTGTTAAGAAAGTTTTAACTGATAAAACCACAAAAACAACGATCACAACAAAAGCATGAAAAACCCAAGCTTTCTTATTTAAAGGAATCAGTTTACTTAAAACATGATCTAGCGACAAAACTAAGAAAGAAATGTGTCGCCACGTCTACAAATTTAATGCATACATTATAGTTCAATGAACCTTGGTTGATCAAGATCGATCGGCTGGAAAAGGGTTATATTTTAAGCTTTTTAGGATAAAATTAAATGAATCCAGATTAATTGACATTCCTATTTTTGAAATGATCTAGCAGTACAATGAAAAACGATTAGGATTTCTGGGATTTTTTTTCTTCATTTCAAATAGGTATCACTATACAAATTTTGCATCATTTTACAAATTACGATTAATGAACAAGGATTAAGAGATTAAGTTTAATAAACTTTTACATGTAAGCTTATTTAGTCTAAATATTGGACTATGTACGACCATACTTGAACCTAAACTTGAACTAATTAGAAGAAAGAGACTAAGAAAGAACTTATTCTAGTTTTAAAAGTATAAAACATTTCGAGTGTGAAAACAAGAAACAAATTACTTCAATCATCTTCAAAATTACGTCCGTTACACAAAAAGATTAATTGGTACTTCTCGTTATCTTTGTTCCTGTAGATAAAGGGATAAATTAATAATGACAATAAAGTTTTCTCTCCTATGATAACACTAACCATCTTTCTGTTGTTTTCCGGCCGCCATCTTGGAAATGGTTTGGGTTGGGCAACAACACAGGCAGCCCAACGATTCAAAAACCTTGAGAACGCTAACGTTCTTAGTGTCTGTCACGCACCTTCTAGTGTCTGTCATGCAACGTTGCGTGACAAACCCCAAGAACGTCTACGTAGTAGGGTAATAGACTCCTTGCACTAAATCTACCCATTCTTCATTTGCAATAGACGTCATAGCCGCCATGTTGGAAGAATTTGACAAAAGATTTTTCAATGAATTCTTTTATATCTTCCAACATGGCGGACATCCCTTTTGTTATTGTGCTCTCTTGGGATTGATTGCAAACCAAGAATAGAAGCCATGAACTACGAAGTATCCATTCCTTAAATTTATGGTAAATATCTATGTTAGACAAGCTTATGCATAGGGGAATTCCATTTCAATCAACAAAAGAGATCTACATTGCACTCAGTCCCAGCTAGGAAAATGCTAGCCGAGTTCTGATTGGAAGAGCTACTAATAGGGTATAAGTTATAGCCTACTAGTAGTGAAAAGTGCCGGATTTGGAAACCAAAACATTAAATTTAACTTTAGTTCAAAGCTTTTTTGTATCTATATATTTGACTGACTAGATGGAATTGGCATAGTCACAGACAATTAAGTTTAAAAAGAATACTCTTTATTCTGGTATAGAAGTATATGTTCATCTTGATAGGCTTAAATGTTCACAATAAAAAACAAAAAATATGTTTTTGTTTTAAGAAATTGTATATAATAATAATTATTAAATTCTAACTATTTCATCCGTCTTAGAACTTCTTCATGGGAATCCTAAATCTCCTACCTGGTAAGAACAATATATAGAGCCATAAGGGTAGAGGGTGTAGAAGATGGGATATTAGTATTACGATGTAAAATAGGGCTGATTTAAATCAGGTTTACATTGAGAGAGTTTAGGAGATCAGGGAGGACCCACTTTGTCACCTTTGTTGTCCATGCTATTTTCATAGTCCTCTAATTATAAATTGCCCATTCTGAATACTAATGCATTTAATGCTAGTCTAGTCATTCTTAGCAGGTGCAGCTTCTGTAGAAGAGGCTCCTTTCTGAGGTGTTTTGTTAGTACTCTGTCCAATACTGTATAAATAAATGGCAAAGATGACAAGCCCTGCTCCTAATAAAAACTCTGCACTTGCTTTAAAATCAAAAAAGTGAACAGAGACTATACATGATATTACAATGGCAATGGCAGCTGAGAACCCTTTGAGAATATTATCTGCATACTTGACAACTATTCCTACTAACAAGCCACCCAAAGCCTGGAAACATATACAGAATTTGACAAGAGGTGTATAACCGAAGAAGAACCCTTTTTCAGCAACTGCCGCTCCATCATTGTAGAAAACTCCAATGAAACCCAGTAGAAACCCAAACAAGGATAGTTGGAGATTACGGACCCAAAGGGTTGTGTTGGTGCCTTTTAATTGCATTTCAAAATAAACACCTGAAAATAAGAAGATATTATAAAAGAATATAAGTAAATATATATATTACAGAATTTGAAGGTAGATACATAGACATTTCTAAACATCTTTAGAAGCAGGTTTAGCTAAGTTTGTTGTTGAGCAGCCCTTTGAGCTTAGAGGTCTACAGTCCATCCTCAACTCCTCTCTAAACCTTATAGCTTCAGCATTGAATACCATTAAAACAGGGCACTGGGGCGGAGGTGGGAGGGGTAAATTGCACACCCTCATTCCACCATCATCTTCCAGGAAGACCAGCTAATAGCTGAGAGGAGGAACATAACCCCCCCCCCCCCCCCCCGGAGAACATACCCCCCCCGGAGGAACACTAACATTAAATAAGGCCTTCACCTTTACATTTTACCTATTTCAGGTCCTACTCGTATAACTGACTTGCTAGTGGAACTTTTCATCTTGGTTTTGTGACAAATATACTGATGGTTGTTTCTTTTTGTGCATACATTATAACAACCAGAAAATCTTTAAAGATTTTGGTTTTAAAAACAAATCAAATTGCAGTTGACTTGTGGAAAGTCTTCTGGAGAGTGTATGGCAGATGGTCAGAAAGGGGGGGATTGGTCCAAGCAAAAGAGGTCTAAATTAATCAATCAGTTTAAGTTATAAAAAAAGGTTTGGCTTTGATCTAACCTGCAAATCCTGAACAGAGTGAAGAAGCAATAACAACAATGACACCAAGAACAGGATTTTGCTTTATGTGAGAAGTTGAAGCTTTCGGTTGTCCAGAATCTGTGGGTTGTAGCTGGACTATAGACACACCCACGAACAATAAGACAAGAGACAGCCACTGTATTTTATTGAGGGGCTTCTTAAGCAAGATGACAGACATCAGAGCAGTTGTTAGAATCTTTAGCTGGTATGTCACCTGGAAAAATGATTGATGGAATGCATAATAGTGAAGATTTGGAATGAGTGTATGAAAATGAATTCCTTTCCCATCCAGTCCCAACAGATGTCTCAGGTTGTAATAACACAAAAATGTGACTAACAATGGTTTTCCTTACCTGAAATGTTGCAGCATCAAGGTTTGATATAGCCACATAAAGAAGGTTATTTTGTAGAGTGTAGATCAAGGCTGGAACAGCCATTTTAAACATGTCTGTTGGATTACCAAGTGTGGATGAATAAATACACCGCAGCCACATCACAAAACGTTTTTTCTCCCATAGTAAAACAGTGAGAGAAACTAATAACTTTACAATCTAAAAAAAGAAAATTAACAAATACATTAAAAAAATCAATGTTTATTGGTTTGTTAGTAAGCATCATCCTTCAAGTTACTGTCACCTCTTATTACGGACTAGTATTAAGTCCAAAAGCTAGGATCTTGAATAAGTTGTTTAATATTGAAGAAGCAGTCAAATAATTTTAAATGATGATGAATATTTTATTGATTGTAAAATAAATGATAAATATATATCGCGTCAAGGATCTAGATATTGTATCTTACCTCTGTCATTACGACTACTGTACTGGAAATGTACAAGTCTCCAAATACTGTCCTACTATAGCGCAGCATCAAAATTATGAGAGCATTCTGTAATGTCAATATGATAAGACTGAGGTATTTGATACTGAAGAAAGATCCTGTAAAGACAAGGATGAAGCAAACATCACAACAAAGAACAAAAATAAGTGGATGGAATGTAAGTTGCAGGGCTACTAATAACACCTTAATATGCACCCCGTAAAGTCCTCCACTAATCATAAAATGTAAAGCTCATTCCAAGGGGGGGGTTACTCTTGCCCATTTAGGGTAGGGATGTGAGGAGACGTTAAATGCGCTATATAAGAACTCCCCATCATAATCATTACAAGTGGATGGATGGATGAACAAGTGAATGAATGGATAGTAAACTTGTGATGAACAAATGGATGAATGGAGTGAATGTAAAAATAAGCAATTAGAATGAGAAGTAGTGAAACAAATATTACTTTGTCCGGATAAACTATAGAAGAATGAAATTTTCTATCTGTTTTTATATAAGCTTAATTAATAATATCAAATAAATACAAATTCAAATAGAATAAAAGAACAAATGAACGAAAAAATGATGATTGAAAAAAATCCATGTGAGCATGATAAACACTGTTTGTTATAACCTCAGCAACTTCATTTGAGAATTCATATTAGAATAATTACAGGAAATATCCAGCTGTCTTTTATACCAAGATATATGAGCACGACATTACAAATTATTAGAGATGGACACGCACGCTTATGTCTAAGAGGTTGCAATGAATAGTAGAACAGCTTTGGTGCTTTATAAGAGTCAAATATTCTCTATTGATCGTAAACTGTAAAATCTAGAGAGAGAATAATTGACTTCGTCATCACAGACAACAAAGGTCATTCAAAATATTACTGAAATTTAACTTCTTCAAACACTAAGTCGAACCGAGCTTGAAAATGTCAAAATCCTTTTAAAGATAGTTATTTGAATATAAAAAACATATCACCTAATAAAGAAGGAACTATTTTTTGTTTTGTAAATATATATTTTACTCACCGGCTCCTGTGGCCGCCATCTTGGAAACTTGCTCAGCCATGGCAACATGGCAACGCATGCGTGAGAAAAGTATGTTCTACAACAGGAAGCCCAATATCTTATTCGTCAAAAGCGGGTAGACTGCGTGCAGCCGGACTTCCTATTTCAGACGTGTTATTCCCTACAGCATTGCTTGTTTGTTTTAAAACGATTATGTAAGATGATGTGAATAAGGATACGACCAAGAGAGCATAAAAAATTATGCTCTCTTGATACGACCATGGAGGATAAAAGCCCTTTTATCATCCATGATACGACTCAACAAAAAATAGGCGTGGTCCGTCCCAAGCTAAAATGATCTTTTGAAAATGAGGTAGATAGGTCAAGATAGACGAGAAATCAGAATCAGAATTAATAGATTGGCTTTAATCTTTATTCGTAAATGTTTTTTTCCTAGCCTTTTTATCGTTGGCACTTTTTTGATTCTCAACACTTGGTTTGTCAGCATCGTCTGCATCGTCTACTTCATTATCTTCGGCTTTTCGACATTTCTTCACAATCCATTCATGCTCTTCATCATCTGCAAGGAAAAAATATGTACGTTTTCAAAATATGTAGTCATTCGGTATTCTACAATGCAATATCAAGAGAATATTAAGAATACTTCATATTCTCTTGGCAATATTTAGTAATATGCATAAGGTAATATTACATAGAAGAAAGCTTACGTACGGAAATTTGACTGCGAAGTACTCTGCTTCTTTCCTTTTCCCGCTTCATCCCCATACATTTTGTTAAATAAAAGGTATTAAGGTATAATGACACCAAGATATCGGTATACCTGCAGATTTGAAAAACTTCATCTCGTAGGTGTAGATGACCCTCTTTATGGGGTCATAAAACCCTTCACCACTGTCGTACATTCCCCTAGGGATCTGTTGTGGAGGTACTCTGTTAGAGATCATTGAGCGACCTATGCAGACATGAAGACATCAAACATGATTGGTTTAGGTGTAGACTCAAAGATGATATGAATGAGTTGAACGCTGCTACCCAAGATTAAGAGCGGTTTACGCGCAAATCATTGAGAAAATATAAACTCTTTCAACTGTTGCACGCAAGGTCGTAGGCAACGTACGGATGAATGCGTGACTGCTAGCAACACCCGCAGTCGTGTCTGCCTAGGCGTCCGTAGGTGTTAATTTAAACAACTAATATAAATTACACTTGCGCACTGTAATGTTAGCTTTCAAACCTTGTGCTGTGGGCAGAGGACCAAGCTATGCACGATATTCAAGAGATTGCTAACCTGCAGGTTTGACACCATCCCGCAACTCCAAACCAAATAATCGATCAGTAGTACCGTTGCAGTACTCCCATTTCTTTTCAACGTCGTACGTCAATCCGTCATCGCGAAATTCGTATTTTCCCTTATCGAAGAGAATCAACAATAACTGATTTAGATATCCCTTTCAATCCAATTTTAAAACTTGAGCGACTAACTATATTATAATATTGTTTTAGGTGTTACGATAAGCATAATTTGTCGTTAATGTTCTTAAAAAATTAAGTTCTCAACATTTTACTGGATTACAAGATTAGAACTTGTCATTAATAAGATAAATTTGCAGAGTTCACTTGACAGGAGCGGCGGAGCCGGGGGAGCACGTGCCCCCCCCTCCAAATTTTGTTGGAGGGCCTGGTCCCCCCCAAAAACATTGTTTTTTTCACGGCGTATGCGTCTGCAATCAAACAAAACATTGTCATTATCACATAGCGTTAAATATAATCTTCAGTGCCCCCCCCCAAAAGATTTTTGCAGTGCCCCCCCCCCCCAAAGACTTTTAGCTTCCGCCGCCCCTGCTTGAGTATCCACCATTAGAAAAAAAAAATTATTTATCTGAACTCTGAGTTCGTGCAACATTTTATTGGATTCGACGTCAATCAAAGAGATGATTTATTCACTCGCATGAAGTTCTGAACGAGTTCATGAACTTCAAAGAAAGAGGGTCAAAAAAGGCGATTATTTGCAGTAAAATAATTAAAAATAGCCGCCAAAAATTAGAATTTGCCACTAATAAGCTAATTTTGGATAAATTTGCAGAGTTCACAATGAATTTCCATGAGAAAAAAATTAATTTATCTGAACTGAGTCCAGCATGCAACATTTTACTGGATTCAACGTCAATGAAAGAGATAATTTATGCTACCCACATTCCCCCTTCTTTTTTCGTCAGATGAAGCTGCACCCAATAGAATGACGGCCTTTAACCCGATTTAGATAAAGATAAAAGTATCGTACACGTATTAGAGTATACGTACCTCTTTTGATTTTCCATCCTCGAATTTCCCTACGTACCATAACAGATCTGATATTTGTATCGTTCCTTCGCCATGCAACCTATACAAGAATCACATATACACTGATAATAGTAAGTAGTGAACAACAGCAGTGTTTAGTGAGAGTTTGGAAAGGACTAGTAGGCGCGAAACTCTTCGCAAAAATGTTTCTTCAAATCTTGCCACAATGATTAAGTCCACCAAACCAAGCAGAGGTGCAAAGCGATTTTGATTTGGTCACCCCTTCGTGGCCTACACCCATGTTTTGTTTTGTCAAGTAATTTAACGAAGGTTTCAGCTCGATACTTACTTCCCGTCTTTAATTTGTCCAATGTATTTTGTCCCAAAAAGAGGCGGGAATTCATATTCACATTCTCCTTCCATCCTGTCAAAATAAGATCAGTAACTTAATTATAAGGATAACCTTTAATATCTATGTTCCAACAAATTAATCGTAATTGTACTGCTTGTCTTCAGAACACTTGGTTTGATGTCCCCTTTCTCATAGTATCTAAGTGAAACTTTAGTGTAGTGAGTATAAAAAAATGGAACAAGAAGTATACGTAAATCGACCTTATTTCTATCGGTGTTTCAGACTAAATGGGCGCGTCCGAAGTAGTTGCGCATGATGCTTGACCAGATTTGCGCAGTTCTTCGTATGATAAACCTCACGAGAATAAAAACAACAAAGAAAACACGGAACCCTTATTGGTCTTTACCTTCCATTTGTAAAGTCTCCGTCGTAACAACTCCCGGTGTATTGCATAGCTGGAATCATGTTTATGCAGCTCTGCAGGCTCTGCCAGTACTGGTTATTCAAAATCACTTTGAATACAGAAACGACTAAAAACTCTTTGTGACGTTTATTGTGTAGCCATGAGTGCGCGCGCAATTCAAGCACGGAAAAGGATACGGTATAAGTAAATTTTCGGGGATTATGAAAATGGAATCTCAGTACGTGCTTGCCCAAATGTAATATCATGTAAAAAGTTACACATCAAAGATATATGGAATATCTGATGTCAATGACTAAAAAATTACATAGTTTCGAAGGTTTGGTGACATTAAACCTCGCAAAAAATGAATGATTATAATTGGAAAATTTTTTTTAAATTATTCATTATCTATTTATGAAATATTATTACATCTAGTGGCTACGCGTGGTGCATTATTGCGTGTGAATTTCACGGCTGTTTTAAATTAGAAGACGAATGCGTGCTTTTTACATGATTCTTTTGATTTTACATGCTTGTCGATTGTAAGTTGAATGAATTTCTTTTTCTGAAATTGTGATGCAAAATGAACGATGGAAAAATTGCATTAAAAAAATGCACGAACTGAAAAATGTAAGCTTGAAAAATGTTATTCTCTGCGCATTATATCATTTTATATTCTGTGTATGTAGATTGAGGTAGGTATGTATTGTGCGGCGCAGTAAATGAGTTGCGATAATTATTCTACAGTTCGTTAATTATTTTGTCTTCCGATTTCTACCTATAACGAAGAAGATAGGCGCGGTATTTCTATCTACCATTTAGCCCTGGTATTACTTAAAATATTTTTATCTCTACAGAGCTCAAGGGGCAGGTCTTCTTGAACGAAACACTTATCTATCGTATCTACTTCTCGTAGCAATATATCGTTGGCTTGAGGTCTGGAGCGGAGTTCCATAGGGAAGACAACGTTTCGTCAGTCACACTTGTTAGTTCATCGTCACGCTTGTACCTAAAGGAGAATTAGAGTATGAGTGACTGACAAACAAATCAAACAACAGTCAAAAACACCGTGCCGTGACAGTTATGGTATCGTGTTTGGAGTGTTCTGATTGGATGAACAAAGTTCCTGCATGACGCTGTGATTGGTACAAAGGATGTCAGTTCATGGCTTACGTATCGGTTAAGTGTTCGAAATGTCTTGATTTTTTTATCCCCTGAAATTTTCATACGCGGACCAGCAAATATCGAACCTTCCACTACTTTTAGGAAAAATGCTACACAACAATATAATAGCTTCAATTACCATAATGCAAGCTTGTCTTCGGAAACATTTAGGGATTCAGCAGCAGTCTTCAAAAGTTGTGAAGGCGTCGAATCGCGGTTGACTTGTACCGACCTTGTAAGAACCATTTGAAACGTGACGATTCCTTGTCGTTTTGGAGGTCGCTTTGGTAAGGCATCCTCGACAGGGGAGTCGGAACGGACTGGAGAAGGCGGCAAGGGACGCCGATGGACTGGTAGAGGACTGCAAGGCAAAGGAAATAAATAGTTGGAATCAAATTTAGAAGAGACTTTTTTTACTGGAGAGAACCCTCGGAGCAGAGAAGTATGTCAAATCCGAAGTGCGAACACATGACCACAGTGGTAAGAGGCGGCGCATTAGCAGCGCAAGACTTAGTCTTACACCAACATTTCAAAATACGTTTTCTTGCTTCTCCACAAATTTCTAACCTTCTATGTCTTGGAGATGGCGGCAAAGGTTTAGAAGGTGGTAAGGTAAGCTCAGATCTGGAGGAATTCTGATCCAAGTTTTTTTGTCTTGGATGCGGAGAAGTTGGTCGAGGAGGAGGATTGTCTGAAGAGTAAGGAGAAAGTGCGGTAGAGCCGTTATTCTTCTGCGGTAAGCTTGGTAGAGGTCGTCCTGGTGCACCAGGCGTCTTCTTCAGTGATTTGCGAGTTTCTTTCTTGCGAAGATCCTTCATCAAATTGCTTCTTTCGTTAACCTAAAAAGATATATAGAGATTAAAAAAATGTATACGAACTTGCAAATGAAAAAGACTAGCTATGTACCGCGAGATATACAACTGACGGGATAACTCTTTAAGAAATAAAAAATCTTCTTCTTGTGACTGAAATGGATCGCAAGCGACTGGGTCTCAGTCAGTGACTGGATCTTAAATCACCAAACAAAATTTTTGTTGAATTTTCACCTTTTGAAAGGCCATGAATAATCTTAACGTATAGCAAAATCATGCCAAACTTCTAAAAATTGTTTCCCTCTTCGAAATGCCCAAATTTTGAGTGTTTTTTAATTTAGGAAAATTTGGAACCGTACATAGATGGAATGGACTATACTTCGGTTGGCTGGATCGTACGGATCGCAGACGTTTTTTTACATCGAATTTGTAGCTTTTATCCTATGATTTTTATTTTAATATTTATAACTAGTGATTCTGTTCTGAAATTTTGCAAAAGAAATGCAAATTTTTTTTTTGCACGATTATTAATTGTGAAGCAACATAATTGGTGAGACAGGTAGATCATTTAATATCAGACGTAAAGAACGTCTAAGTGCTGTTGAAAAACAGGATGAAAATAATAAAATTGCCAGGCATCATACCGAGACTGGTGATATGATAAACAAGAATCCAGTGAATGCCTTTCTTTTTGCAACAATAGGCAGCAACGACTTGTACTGGAGAGTTGGATTACCAAGTTTGAGCATCATCAACTAAACCGCTCAATTAACTTACCGGCTCTGTAAAATAGGCTTATCAGAAACAATTACTCTGCACATAACACCGAAACAGCAACGTGCACTCATTAGATTGATGCCGCCAATTATGCAAATCCAGGTAATTAAGCTACTGTTATCGTGGCAGTATAAATATGACCAATCTGACTTAATTCTTCACTTGACTTTAAAGATGACTTCCGCTCAGGTTGTCAAAACGTCAGTCACATTAAACAGTCCTTCTCAGGATTACATCCACCTGGATGATCATAATACCTCAATAAACATTTATTCACCTGGGTTCAGACCATTCTATACAATACTAAAATACCTGTCATAAAAAGTAACACCCACCAGTTTTATTGCCTGTGGCTGGTGTGCCTCCTGACCAAGGTCTCTGCTGTCCATTCCACTAGATTCTGTAAAAACAGGTTTCTGAGGAAGGTCATTAGAGTTATCATCTTTATCTCTAGCTGCGACCACCTGGGATTTTCCAAGATAATTTGGCTTCTCTTTCGCAGCAAGTAATTTACTTCTTGATGGCTGAAAGACTGCATGAGAAGGCAACCCTGTAGGAATCATGTTTTTTCCAGTCTACAAGCAATAAGAACATAGTATAAACAAGATGTTTCAATAAGTTACAGAAAATGAAAGAAAATAATTAACAAAATTACCTGAAAGCAGAGAAGGGCATCTTCAATGACACCATGTTGGGGTTCAGCACGGGACTCCATGGCTTTCAAAAAGTCATTTCTGGCTTGCTGGTCTTTTCCAAGCTTTGCATAAGCAATTGCCTTGTTGCAAAGGATCTAGTAATGCCAAAAGAAAAGAATAATGGTCTGTTTAGGTCGTTTTTTCATCATGTCAATTTATATTTTATGCACTAACATACAGTGGTGCATAAAATAAGAATTCAGCTTCTGTGCAGGAAACACCTGCTGATGAGTTCCTCATCCATCACAGCCAGTAACAATAAAATTTATTAACAATGGTGAGAGAAGTGTTTTTCTATTAATGTTTACATTTCTTACCTCACAGCCATACAGCTTGTACTTCAAGCCCAATTGTTTGTAATCAATCAAACGATTGCCTCGCAGGAAGAAATATGCATCTTCAAAATTCTTCAAAGCATCGCGGTTCAGGTTTTTCTTCAAATGTGCACAGCCAAGCATGAAATGAGCTACAGCTAACATCTTGTCTTTTCCAATGGATTCTTTAAAAGCCTTAAATAGTAATCTGTTGTTACTGTACAGCTTTAGCAGCCTGCATAGCCAGGCTTTTTTGATGGATTTATCTTCCAAAGTTCCAGAGAGTCTATCAAATGACATTGGAGTTTCAGAGTGCACTTCCACTATTGATTTCCATGGGTCCTCTCCCCCTCCATGGATATTAATGAAGAATTATTATATCTTGTAGTGATGGTTATCTCCCTTTGCAGGACACCCCTCCCCCCCCCCATGTAGATGCACCCTTCCCTTACCCAAGTGGATGTAGATGTGCCCCCCCCCC